CAGTCTAGTAAAGCTACATGGGGGTGTAATAGTTGTGGTTTGTGTCTAGTTTGCTGTCCTTCCCCCGCACCTCCGATTAGCACGGTTGTCAACGTACGGTGCGAAATAGATTCAACTTACACACACGTACACACACTTACACACACACGACAACAACAACAATCGCCATTCGCCACTAAGTGGCGGTGACGTCACCACGACGCTTGTGCCAGGCCATGTGCACCTTGAGGCCACGTGAAGTGTCGAGCGCCCGCTGGCAGGAGGTCACGGGGCAGACCCAGCAGGTGCCACGGGTCGACTTACTCAGATGACCGAGATGAGTGGCTGATGCACCACCTGTGCCCCCTACTGTGCCCCCTGCTGTGCTTTAGCCAGCGGCAAAAACAACCCCCTACCTCCTCGCGGTGCCGGACCGGCAACGCTGTCGTGGACAGCGTCTGTGACCACCACAGTGGCTAAACGGGGGCTCTGGACGGGTGCGAGGGGCTGGTAACCCCTCCACCTTCAATACATTAGCGTGGGTGACTACGGTGGCAGGGACCACCTCAGTCACCCACCCCGACCTACGACGTTTCGGCTCTGGCCCTAGCGCCGCGTGGTGTACACCGCTACCAACTGGGATGAACTCACCCAACGGGTGCAAGCGCCGATATCGGCTCCTCTCGCGTGTGAGCAGCAGGAGGAGCAGGAGACCTGGGGGCAGAGGGGGGGTCACATGAGGTCATCGTGGGGAACGCCAGAGGGCCTCTGCGTGGAGGCGGCGAGGTGTTATCGCCCTCGCCGGGTCCGCAGGAGGTCGTGGGGGTTCCGTCCGCCGCGGTCGCGTCGAATGATCCCCGGGGTTTCCCCCTCCACGTGTCGGGCCGACACAATGAGCCGCTTCGCTCGGCTGCTTATTCTCATCTGTGAGCGCCGTCTGGCAAGCAGAGCCACACATCTCAGTGGGCCTGGCCTGCTCAAATAGAACACTGTCGGTGCAGAGAGCAGCAGTCTGTTGGAACGGGTGCTATTAGCGCGCACCACCACCACCACCACGCCCGGCCGCCTTTGTCACTCCAACGCTGATGTTTACAAAGCGCATCGGGCATTCGTTGAAGACCGAATCGTCGCTGGCCCTGAGCTGAATTTGGGTTTCTGGGCCCGGAGTGCAGCGTGCCAATCGCAGCGCCACCAATCATCGCTCCCCATCAAAAGACAAACATCCCCCATGTGGCCTTAACAGGCTGTTGGGGCAAGTGCTGTTAGCGAGCAGCACTATTGATGCCCCGCACGGCACACGAGGGGGTTGGTGGCCAGCACCACGCCCGGCCGCCTTTGTCTCACCAGAGGTGATGTTTTTAATGCACATCACCAGGTACTCATTTGAGGCTGAGTTGACCTAGGGGAGGCCCAGGAACCGGTTCAGATAATCGTTCGGTTCAGATAATCGTCACCGTTGTTGATGGCCGTGAGCGGGAATCTAACTCGGGTGGGCAGGGTTCGAAGCACAGCGCGCTAACCACTGCGCCACTGCTCCCCACCCACCAGCACCCCAACAAACACCACCACCAGCACCACCACAACCACCACCACAACCACCAGCACTACCACTACCACCACTACCACAACCACCATCACCACTACCAACCACCAGCACCACAAAAAACACCACCACTACAACCACCAGCACCAACAAACACCACCACCACAACTACCAGCACCACCACAACCACCAGCACTACCACAACCACCAGCACTACCACAACGACCAGCACCACCACAACCACAACGACCAGCACCACCACAACCACCAGCACTACCACAACGACCAGCACTACCACAACGACCAGCACCACAACCACCAGCACTACCACAACGACCAGCACCACCACAACCACCAAGCACCGGTGCCACAGAGGCAGCTCTCTCTGTCCCTCTTTGTATCTCTTTCTGTCTGTCTCCATCTATGTATGTCTCTCTCTGTCTCTGTGTCCCTCTGTCTCTGTTTGTCTGTATGTCTCTCTGTCTCCCTCTCTGTCTGTCCCTCTTTGTATCTCTTTCTGTCTCTTACCCAGCGGCGGGGAGAGCGCAAGGGAGGATCCAGGTGGAGACGCCGAACGCAAGCAACGACACAAGGTGGTGGTGGTGGGGGTCGCGCCTTGTCCCCCCCTGGGCCCCCCCCCCCCGCGTCACCCCCCCATCACCCCCCGCGTCACGCCCTCACCCCCCCTCACCCCCCCTCACCCACGATTCCGAGCAGTGACGCTGCTGCGTTGCTCAGCAGTGACGCGTCACTGCTGAGGGGGGTGGGGCACGGCCCAGGCCCGTGCAGGTGGAGGCGGTGGGGAGTTGGCGCAGTGGGGGGCCACACCTGGTGGTGATGCATGGGCCACTCGTCTCAGTTGGCGCAGTGGGGGGCACACGTGGTGGTGGTGCATGGGCCACTCGTCTCAGGTGGCGCAGTGGGGGGCACAGGTGGTGGTGGTGCATGGGCCACTCGTCTCAGGTGGCGCAGTGGGGGTCACACGTGGTGGTGGTGCATGGGCCACTCGTCTCAGGTGGCGCAGTGGGGGTCACACGTGGTGGTGGTGCATGGGCCACTCGTCTCAGGTGGCGCAGTGGGGGTCACACGTGGTGGTGGTGCATGGGCCACTCGTCTCAGGTGGCGCAGTGGGGGGCACTCGTGGTGGTGGTGCATGGGCCACTCGTCTCAGGTGGCGCAGTGGGGGGCACAGGTGGTGGTGGTGCATGGGCCACTCATCTCAGTTGGCGCAGTGGGGGTCACACGTGATGGTGGTGCATGGGCCACTCGTCTCAGGTGGCGCAGTGGGGGGCACAGGTGGTGGTGGTGCATGGGCCACTCGTCTCAGGTGGCGCAGTGGGGGGCACAGGTGGTGGTGGTGCATGGGCCACTCGTCTCAGTTGGCGCAGTGGGGGGCACAGGTGGTGGTGGTGCATGGCCACTCGTCTCAGTTGGCACAGTGGGGGGCACAGGTGGTGGTGGTGCATGGGCCACTCGTCTCAGTTGGCGCAGTGGGGTCACACGTGGTGGTGGTGCATGGGCCACTCGTCTCAGGTGGCGCAGTGGGGGGCACAGGTGGTGGTGGTGCATGGGCACTCGTCTCAGTTGGCGCAGTGGGGGGCACAGGTGGTGGTGGTGCATGGGCCACTCGTCTCAGTTGGCGCAGTGGGGGTCACACGTGGTGGTGGTGCATGGGCCACTCGTCTCAGTGGCGCAGTGGGGGGCACAGGTGGTGGTGGTGCATGGGCCACTCGTCTCAGGTGGCGCAGTGGGGGGCACAGGTGGTGGTGGTGCATGGGCCACTCGTCTCAGTTGGCGCAGTGGGGGTCACACGTGGTGGTGGTGCATGGGCCACTCGTCTCAGTTGGCGCAGTGGGGGGCACAGGTGGTGGTGGTGCATGGGCCACTCGTCTCAGGTGGCGCAGTGGGGGGCACAGGTGGTGGTGGTGCATGGGCCACTCGTCTCAGTTGGCGCAGTGGGGGTCACACGTGGTGGTGGTGCATGGGCCACTCGTCTCAGTTGGCGCAGTGGGGGGCACAGGTGGTGGTGGTGCATGGGCCACTCGTCTCAGGTGGCGCAGTGGGGGGCACAGGTGGTGGTGGTGCATGGGCCACTCGTCTCAGGTGGCGCAGTGGGGGGCACAGGTGGTGGTGGTGGTGCATGGGCCACTCGTCTCAGTCAGTGGCACCTGCTGGGTCTGCCACGTTGACCTCCTGCCAGCGGGCGTTCGACACTTCACGTGGCCTCAACGTGCACCTAGCCTGGCACAAGCGCCGTGGTGACGTCACCACCACTTAGTGGCGAATGGCGTTTGTTGTAATCCCAATTGAGTAATTTTTAGGCACTTTTTGCAAAAGATTGTTTTATCCAATACCAAATGACACGGGCTTGCTTAATAGTTTAGCTCTGGGAAGAAATCTGAACGCAGCCAGGCAGAGCACGAGGGGAAGAGGGAGAGAGGGCCAATCTCCACACCGCACAGCGTCCAGGTCGCGAGTCGAACCCAGGGAATGTTGCTTGCCGTGACGCTCCAGTGTGTCCGCTGTGCCACCCTTACCACGACTCCTCGACGTCAGCAGCGTTTGCAACAACAACGACGACAACAACACACATGGCGACGAAAGAAACAGGAATTTGGTCAGATGGAATTTATTTAGTTCCGTGTATTTGTTGTTGTTTAGATTACAGACTGTTGGATGGGCACAGCCCAAGCAGCTGCGCGCAGTCCTCAGTGCAAGATGGACCTTGACACGACCAGTGACACGGCCAGTGGACACACCCAGTGACACACTCAGTGACACGGCCAGTGACACGGGCAGTGGACACGGCCAGTGACACGGGCAGTGACACGACCAGTGGACACACCCAGTGACACGACCAGTGACACGGCCAGTGACACACCCAGTGACACAGCCAGTGTTCCTGACATGGCCAGTGACACAGCCAGTGTTCCTGACATGGTCAGTGACACAGCCAGTGTTCCTGACATGGCCAGTGACACAGCCAGTGTTCCTGACATGGCCAGTGACACAGCCAGTGTTCCTGACATGGCCAGTGACACAGCCAGTGTTCCTGACATGGCCAGTGACACAGCCAGTGTTCCTGACATGGCCAGTGACACAGCCAGTGTTCCTGACACGGCCAGTGACATGGCCAGTGACACAGCCAGTGTTCCTGACATGGCCAGTGACACAGCCAGTGTTCCTGACATGGCCAGTGACACAGCCAGTGTTCCTGACATGGCCAGTGACACAGCCAGTGTTCCTGACACGGCCAGTGACATGGCCAGTGACACAGCCAGTGTTCCTGACATGGCCAGTGACACAGCCAGTGTTCCTGACATGGCCAGTGACACAGCCAGTGTTCCTGACATGGCCAGTGACACAGCCAGTGTTCCTGACACGGCCAGTGACATGGCCAGTGACACAGCCAGTGTTCCTGACATGGCCAGTGACACAGCCAGTGTTCCTGACATGGCCAGTGACACAGCCAGTGTTCCTGACATGGCCAGTGACACAGCCAGTGTTCCTGACACGGCCAGTGACATGGCCAGTGACACAGCCAGTGTGCCTGACATGCAACGCAATTACCGCAAAACGCAGCCCCGACGGAGCGGGGAGAGTTTCTCACGGAACACCAAAAACACAACGCACGCCACGTACAACAAACGTAGAGATAAAAAATAACAACCATCAATTAAGAAATGTAACCCATCGAGAGCAGCTGTGCACACGAGATGGTAATACCTTGGCACGTTAGAACAAAAACTAAAAAAATAACTAATACAAAAATAACATTTCTTAAAAATACAGCAAAAAAATGTGCAAAGGATATGTTTGTGGCCCATTTCCCTTCCACCGTTGCACAACGTGGTGCCGCTTTGCCGAGTTTTAACGATCAACAGAAGACAGAAAGAAAATCACATTTATGAGGTGACAAAATGTGTCTTTTGGGGGACACGGGGGGCAGAAATCCCCGCGTGGCATCCACCCACAACCGCCACGTGCAGACCGCGCTGCCCCGTACGGCATGGCACTAGAGCCACGCGATCCGCCCCTGCTTACACACTGCACCAACACGGCGTTCCATACAGTGCAATATTGGCAGGTGTCAATCATTGTTTTTGGCCTTTTAAACGTAGAAAAACGACTGCAACGCTACGGTGCAGAGGAGCACAAGAAAGCCAACTTCATCTTGATACCGGCTGAAACAAAATGTGGGAGAGGTCCCAAAAATGGATCGAATGCCACCAACACGAGACGCAGGGTCACAGCCAACCACGGTTTTATTTGCGCGCGACCCCTCTCCACCCCGCCCCCCCCCTAAGTCGAAGGGTTTATCGGCCGTGATCAACTTAGTCGAGAAACTTCTAAGCGTTGTCCTTCACCGTGGTGGAATTCACTGGTGGAGCGATCATTCAGGAGCTGGAGGGATGAGTCACATAAGGAATCTGGGCCCTGCGAGTACGCTGGCTCACACACCCAGCGTCCAGCTCACACACACACCAATCAAACACACACACACACCCAGCGTCCTTTCGTAAGAAGAAAAACCCTACTTGGGTTATTTTTAGTCAATGCGTGATTTTTTTTTTACAGTGATTGTGTTGAACAAAAAAATATTCGGGGGATTGTGGCCGGCGATGATGATTTCATCCAATAGGCAACATTTTGTCAATGACATAATCGGGGATTTTAAATGTGAAAGTACAAGACACGATTACTGTCTGGGTGGGCTTGCGGTGATCGGTGCCAACCTCGTGTAGCCCCCCTGGAGACAACGGTGGATGGGCACCCTCCAGTGCCACCAATTGTCACGAATCCAGACGCGGCCGTCTGGAACGCTCTTCCTTCTGATATTTGAAAGCCACAGGGAGCGAAGTACTTCTAAATCAAAATTTAAAACTAATTTCTTTAGTACTGCCGTCTGTGTTTAGTTTGTTGTCCTTCCCCCGCACCTGATTCGCGTGGTTGGCTACGTGAACACACGAACAGACGTCACGAACTAAAAAACAAATCTCATCCATCTTGCCTTTACCGTCCCACTTGTAGTGTCCGTCTTGTTTATACTGTCTGTCCCCCCCCATCTCGTGTGTCCCGTCTTGTCTGCGCCGTCGTCATTGTCTCATCTGCTTTGTTTGCATCGTCTCAGCCGGAGCAGCTGGCTTGTCCTGCGACCTCGCGAATCGTGATCGCGAATTGATTTCTCTGGACCGGTTTTATCTGAACCGTCTCATCTGTAGTCCAACTCAATTGTACTGTCTCGTTGTAGAAGTAATTTGTACTGCCTCGTGTCTACAGCCTAATCTAATGACCACCATTATCATTTACCATCCCCCATCTCTACGGTGTTACTTTTACCCGTGTTCCGCCACACCGCTTGCATCAATGTAAATAAACAACTTCTACATTTGTACAAATAAACAAAAATAACTTATGCTTACATGCAAGAGTTGATACGTACGTCGTGAGCATAAGGATTTAGTTAAATTGAGGACTCATCACATGCCTGTAACATTCACCTACAGGTTAAAAAAAAAATTGTACATAAAGCGATGCACTGGAGAACCCAATACTGCAAAACGTTGAGTTCAAAGTATGCCTTGCTCAGAGTATGACTGCTACAACGTGACATTATCGTGTTGACCGCGGTGTATTTTAGTCGCTACTTAACACAAAGGTTGCATCACATCACGTTTCATTGCCACTGAGAAGCCGTCTGAACAGTATCACGGCCGTACTTGTAAAACCAGTTGAGGACATGCAACGCAATTTGTCACCTCAAAAATATTTAGTCCACAGAGAAAGAAAAAACCCCCACCACACACATTCACCAGGCAACACCCAAAATCAAGTTTTTTTTGTTAACATCTTTAAAGCTGCCAAATCAGTTATCTTACTCGTCTATGGCAAAATAAAATTGTGCATCGATTTCACAAAACTAAATTTACACGATTGCATTGTTACGAATTAGTGGTAAGACGCGTGCTTTCAGCACCAACAACATGGTTTGTTTTTTTCTAAACTTCTGTCTCGTGATGGACTAGGAACAGAAACAAATCCGTGGGCACGCTCCCGGCGTGGTGGTTGTTGTTAAATCTCTGCCGTGATGGCGATTTAAACGCCGGCCTTGCCACCCGAGGTGGCGCCCGGGCCTAGCAGGACCAAGCAGGGCCATGTAGGGCCTAGTATGGCCTAGCAGGACCAAGCAGGGCCTAGTAGGGCCTAGTAGGGCCTAGTAGGTCCTAGTAGGGCCTAGTAGGGCCTAGTAGGGCCTAGCAGGACCAAGCAGGGCCTAGTAGGGCCTAGTATGGCCTAGCAGGACCAAGCAGGGCCTAGTAGGGCCTAGTAGGGCCTAGTAGGTCCTAGTAGGGCCTAGTAGGGCCTAGTAGGGCTTAGTAGGTCCTAGCAGGGCTTAGTAGGGCCTAACAAGGCCTAGTAGGGCCTAGTAGGTCCTAGCAGGGCTTAGTAGGGCCTAACAAGGCCTAGTAGGACATAGTAGGACCTAGTAGGGCCTTTTAAAACCACCACCACCACCACCACCAGGATCACTTGTGGCGGACAGGGCCGGTGTCTCTCGGCGTCTGGTCGCCAAACACCTTCACTCACAAATGAAACACAGCAAACACCGTCACAAACACCGTCACTTTGTCGGCGCAGCCACTCTCCATGACATAACAAAATAAACCTTTATGCAAATATTTCCAACAACGCAAGGAACCCAAAGAAAACTAGAGCATATCTTTTGCACAAAGGATTCATTTGCACCTCATTTTGGTAGCTTTGTAAACTGGCACAATAATCAATTACTGGATGTGTAGTGAGTCACGAGTTTTTTTTTTTGTATTTTTTAAAGTTTTTCTCTCTCTTTTAATACGGAGGAGCCCAAGCAAAGGTCTGGGTGGCCGCCTAGGGGCAAGCTCTGCTCGCTGGCCTGGAGCCACAGCCGCAGCAGTGGCGGCGGCGGCGGCGGGCGAGAGAGCATCAGTGCATCGCAAACATTCGTTCGTTTGAGGGAATGCAGCCCGACCATTTCAATGTAATACAATGGTAGCAGCCGTCAGCTCCCGTCCCCCCGTCCAGCCGTCCAGGGTCAGGGTTTTTCTCAAGTATCTCCAGTACTCTCTCATAGTTCGCGGTTACTTCAGGTAGATGCAGTTATTAGTTTGTTTTGTTTTTTCCACTCCACTTTGTATTCCGTTTCCTCGTATCACGCAGTCAGGTCGAGCCGCGGATGGGATTTTTTTGTACGTTCCAAGACCATTCACTCGTATTCCAGGAACTGCTTGTGGTAGAACAGCAGATACCTGTGGCACAACGGTGAGGAAAGAGGTGGCAGAAATGGGGTTAGAATCGTCTCAAACCCCAACAGTCTCCTTCACGAGTTACTTTATTGTTGCAGCAAGTTCTCGTTCAAGGGCCCCGTGGTGGCGAAATGTGAATTCCCTCGCCTGGTATGCAGGAGGTCGTGGGTTCAATCCCGACCCTGACAATGTCTGTTGTATATTTGAAGTTTGCATGTTCATTCTCCCCGTGGTTTTTTCTCCGAATCCTCCAGTTTTTCTCTCACATTTAAAATCAACATCATGCATTTAGAGTATTTGGCTGCTATACATTTCCACGTGATAAGCCACTTTGTTGAGCTATCATTTGTGATAGCCAGGTCGCTTCTGATAAAGAACTACAGAGCTCAGTGGGACTTACCTGGTAAAATAAACATAGTTTGAATAGCTTAACGTGAAATATGTGTTACTGAAAAGTGTTGCGTGAAGCGAAAAACACGGCAAGCGAAAACTATTTCCCCATAAATAATGCAACGATAATTTTGGTGAGCTACGATGTACTACTACTACTACTAAGCACACCACACAGATGGCGGGACAAATAACTGAGTGCACGCTGCCACGTTACTGTATCGATCCGCGTTACTGTATCGATCCGCGTATTGTATCACTACCGCTCAGCCGCACAGCTCCAAAAAGTAGTTCAGCGTCTACCGCTCAGAAACAGCAATATAACGGTGCACGTTCCGTGTTATAACGGTGCACGTTCCGTGTTAGGAGGGAGGAGGTAGGTGGAAGGAAGTAGGAGGCAGGAGAGGAGCGTGGTGTCCACGCACCCTTCACTGTCGAGGACGTCCCGCGCGCCGGCGTGCGTGATGATCGCGTCATCGCACTTGAACCACTGGTCTTTGTGCTGCCGGATGAAGCTGGTGTAGTGGCCGCTCTCCAGCGTGCCCTGGTGGTTCACCACTGCAAATAGCGAGTACCTGGGCACGCACGGACACACGCGCACACACACGCGCGCACACACACACACGCAGACACACAGGCGCACGCATGCATACACACGCAGACACACACGCATGCACAGACACACACGCAGGCAGACAACCAAAGATAATTATTCCGTATATAGCCTAAACATACTGTTAGGGCAAGTGCTGTTAGCGAGTAGCACCTATGAAAGCCAGCACGGCACACTAGTTGTGGGTAGACAGCATCATACCCGGCCGCCTCTCTCCCCAGTGGCGATGTTTACACACTGCACCAAGTACTTATTTGAAGCTGAGTCCACCTAGGGGAGGCCCAGGACCGGTTCAGATAATCGTCACTGGTATTGGCTGTAGTAGCGCAACGCGCTAACTGCGACACTACCGTTTCATCAGCAGACACACGCACGCGTGCATTGCATCCAACTTACAGTGGGACACGTTTAAGTTGATAAATGAACAGAACGTAATTGATATACGTTACTCTCAGTTTACAAAAACAGCCGCGGAATGGGTTTGTTCTCTGCATCACTCGGATTGCCACAGTTTTCTTAATTATATTATAATCTAACCAGGAAAGCTTCATTGAGTCTCAAGTTAATACACGAGTAACCACAACCGAGTGACTTGCAGGTACAGGCATAACCCGGTTTACGCCCGGGATGCGTTCTTGAAAATCAGAGCGTAAATCGAAAGTACTTAAATGACCGCAGTGGCTAGGAGATGTTATCTCCCTCGCCTGGTATGCAAGAGGTCATGGGTTCGATCCCGACCCTCACATTACCTGTATAATTGGAGTTGGCGTGCTCTCTCCCCGTGGTCGCGTGGATTTTTCTCCAGGTCCTCCGTGTTTTCCCTCCGCATTTAGAATCAATGTAACGCATTTAGAGTGTTTGGCTGCTATACATTTCCACGTAATGATAAGCCACTTCGTTGACCTATCATTTGTGGCCAGGTTGCTTCTGAAGTAGAGCTACACAGCTCAGTGGTGACTTACCTGGTAACATTAAAAATAGTTTAAGAGTTTAAGTTGGAGCCTTTAAATCATCTGATTATTATGATTCCATTTGTTCAACCTGGACAAGCCTCACCGAGTCTCAAGACTCTCTCAGGAGGGTCCTGCCAAGATTCACAGGGCGGAGGGGAGGCGATGTTGCTGCTGCTGTGTGTCGGATCCCAAACGGGTAATTGTTAATGTTTTGGACCAATCAGAGAGCCCAGGATGAAACTCATGCCGCACACAGGGGGAGAGAGAACCAAGCCATGCACACTCAAAGACAGGCCTCTCCCTCTCGAGTCGGGGAATCGAACCCAGGCCCTTCTCGCTGCGGGGACAACCAGCGTCACACCACCGCGTGCTTAAGTTACGGCCGCGCAGAGCGGAGGTCGTGGCGAGCGCGAGCGGGAGGACGCCGCCACCTACTTGTTCTCGCTGCTCAGGGAGTCTCCTCCCGCTTGGTGCTGCCCGTTCACGCGGCTCTCCTTGCTGTGCCCACGCACGCGCGCACAGGGGGCGAGGTCACAAGGTCACGAGGTCACACGGCACAAAGATCCCCCCCCACCACCACGGTGTGGCCCGCACAGGCACGCTGGGGCAGCCGCGCCCTGCCGCTAGCGAGCGCCGCCCGCGAATGGTGCGGTCGGGCTTATGCCCGGCGGTTCGCGTTTACACACCGAACGGAGAGTTCGAAATGGGAACCTACTCCTTAAAAAAAACTGAAACTAAACAATTTTTTATTTTACCAGGTAAGGCCCACTGAGCAATATATTTAGTTTTCAGAAGCGACCTGGCCACAAATGATAGCTCAACAAAGTGGCTTATCGTGTGGACATTTATTTCAGCAAAATACTCGAAACGCCTGTTGATTCTAAACCCGGAGAAAAATCCACTTGACCATACACAGAGAGACATGCAAACTCCAAATGTACAGCAGGCATCAGGGTCGCGATGAAAGCCATGACCTCCTGCATGCCAGGCGAGGGAGTTAGCAGATATTTGTGACCGATGTCGGCCCTGTGCGGGTATCGGACTCGGGTCGCCAAGTTCGCAGCGCAGTGCGTGAACCACTGTGCCAACGGCTCGCCGCACAAACATCCCCCATGTAGCCTTCAACTGGAGGAGGAGGCAAGTGCTGTGAGCGAGTAGCACCGATGAAGGCCGGTATAGTACATGCGGGGGTGGGTGACCGACACCACGCCCAGCCGTCTTTGTCTCCCCAGTGGCGATGTTTGCACGTGTGCGGTGGGTTTGGGTGTGTGCAACGCAGTTGCGTGCGTGTGCGTGCGTGTAGACACCTTGATGCCATGAACGGCGTCATGTCGAGCTCCAGAGGAAAGGAGACGTAGGTGGTGATTTTTTTGCGCAGCTTTGCCGAGTGCTCAAATCGCTGCAAACCAACACACGGACACACACAGAGTGACTCAGGATCACAGCAGTTTAACACGTCGGTTCAACATCAAGCCAACTCTGGACCAGTTTCAACATTCAGTATCTCATCAGCAGTCAGGCTTGCTTGATTTAAAATGATGCGCTCGCAGAAGGCCGTGTGGCTGACGGGATATACCATTTATCTATTCATTTACGTGCTTGTTTGCTCCGTGGCGGGACAGACACGGCAAGGACACGTGTCTAATGCTTGTGCGTTCTGATGCCAGTGCACGGCGATCGCTTTGAAGCCGCGATCGCTAAACAAGCGCTGCCCAGCGAGTGGGTGCCGTGCTGCTGCTGCCCCTACTGCTGGCGCTGCCCCTACTGCTGCCCCTACTGCTGGCGCTGTCGTGGGTGAGTGGGGTTGCAAGGAGAGCCACGCCGCGGCGGCGGAGGCAGCGGAACCTTGAGGTGGAAGCAGGCCACGATGGGCAGCTTCTTCATCGTCAGCTGCTTGGTCGACTCCTGGTAACTGCGGCAGCCGCTGCACTTGATCTTCGCGCTGCTGCCCAGGTACTCGGGCCGCGTGAACCTGCGCTCTCCGGCCGCGGGAACCCACGAGCCACGGTCAGAACCCACGAGCCACGGTCAGGACCCACGAGCCACGGTCAGGACCCACGAGCCACGGTCAGGACCCACGAGCCACGGTCAGGACCCACGAGCCACGGTCAGGACCCACGAGCCACGGTCAGAACCCACGAGCCACGGTCAGAACCCACGAGCCACGGTCAGAACCCACGAGCCACGGTCAGAACCCACGAGCCACGGTCAGAACCCACGAGCCACGGTCAGAACCCACGAGCCACGGTCAGAACCCACGAGCCACGGTCAGAACCCACGAGCCACGGTCAGAACCCACGAGTCACGGTCAGAACCCACGAGCCACGGTCAGAACCCACGAGCCACGGTCAGAACCCACGAGCGCCAATCAACACCCAGGAGCCGTGGACGGCGCTCGTGAGCCACGCGGTGACGTCATAGTCATAATATTGGTCGCGAAAGCCGACCGCAAGTTAAACTAACAAACAGATCCCCTGACTCCCGGGTGGAGTTTGTACGTCCTCTCTCACTCTCTCTCCCCCGAGTCTCCTCTGGGTTCTCCGGTTTCTACCCATATCTAAGCTCCACTGAGCTATGTAGCTCTTTTGGAGAGCTACGATGTACTATTACTTATCACGTGAAAATGTATAGCAGTAGCCTAAGACTCTAAACGCGTGGTGATGTCGATTCTAAATGTGGAGGGAAAAACCGGAGGACCCCTGAGAAAAATCCACTCGACCACGGGGAGAGAGACGCAGACTCCTAATGTACAGCAGCAGGCGTCAGGGTCGGGATCGAACCCACGACCTCCTGCGTACCGGGCGAGGTAGTTAACATCTCCTAGCCACTGTGGCGCTTCTCACACACACAGGGGCAGCTGCCACTGGGGGGGTGCACCCTTCGAAACGAGAGCGGAGGAGGGCGGCGGCCACCAACGTTGTCGCCGTCGCGATCGGGGGGGGGGGGGGGGCAGCACACCGTGCACCAGCCGGCGGGCCGGTACCTGCGCAGGCAGTCGGTGAGCGAGGTGGGGCCCGCCGCCGCGTGGGCCTCCCCTCCGTTGGCGAGCAGCAGACTGCCCTCCGAGCCGGGGCTGAGCGGCCAGAACGGCGTCGAGGAGCCCGGCAGGTCCAGCGAGATGTCCCAGAAGGGGTCGATGGTGGTGGACACGCCCCTGGGAGACACGCGCACACGTCCCACCGCACCACCTCCGCTCAGCACGGTCGGCCCACGTACGGTGCCAAAGAAGTTCGACGTGCGCGAGTGCGACGTTTGTCGGGGATGGTGGCCGTGAGCGGGAACCCAACTCGGTCCACCGAGTTAATGAACACACACTTTGATTTCCTCATTTCCCCATCTTCTTCCGTCTTTTTGTTCTCAATTCAAACTCCTCCCCCCACATTCTCCTCCGTTCACTGGGATTTTCTTTTCCTCTGTACCCTGTCCCCTTCACACTCTTCCATTCTACCCATGCTGTTCGCTCTTCGTTCTGTTTTCCCATCCGTTGCTATCAGGGTTCCGTTACACTCGCACACACAAGACAAAGATCCCCCCCCGCGTAGCCTCGGTAGGCGTTTGGGGCAAGTACCCTTCGCGAGCAGCACTTATGAAGGCCGACACACGAGGGGGTGGGCGGCCAGCCGCCCGCCCGGCTGCCTTCGTCTCCCCAGTGGTGATGTTTGCGTATGTGCAAAGTGTCAACCACCGCACTACTGCTCCCCACACAAACACGCACAAAGACCCCCCGTGTAGCCTGAACAGACTGTTGGGGCAAGTGCTGTCAGCGAGCACCTCCTACGCACATAGACGTGTGTCCGCGTGTGCACTCACTGGCAGACTTGGCAGGTGACGTCCGACTGCAGGCCGCCCGTGAAGATCTGATCGATGATGCAGTTGCAGTGGTTGGGGTTGTTGGCTTTCTTGCCGTTGTCGTCCCCTGCAGAGAGGTGAGCGCGCCGCACGGTCACGGCACGGTCACGGCACGGTCACGGCACGGTCACGGTATGGCACGGTCACGGCACGGTCACGGCACGGTCATGGCATGGCACGGTCACGGCACGGTCACCGCGACCGATTGGAACGGGAGAGGCTCCACACGTCATCACGCCATCACGTCATCACGTCAACACATCAACACGTCAACGCGTGTGGCCACCTTTGCAGTGTCGGTGCAGCACGTCGAGCGCCGCGATGAGGAACTCGTGGGCGTCCTGCTGCTCGTAGCCGGCCAGGTGGCGAGCGTGCGTCCACACCAGGTGCAGCAGGCGGTAGGGGATGTGCGGCGAGCGGAACCCCGAGTAGAACTGTGGGGGGGGGGGAGACCGCGATATGGATGGAAGGGGCACGCTGGGGGACATGCGGGGAGGGGGCACTTGGGGGGGGGGACACACGTGGGGGGGGCACGTGGGGGGAGGGGGGGGACACGTGGGGGGGGGGGACACACGTGGGGGGGGGGGGACGCTTGGGGGGGAGAGACGTGGGGGGGGACACACGTGGGGGGGGCACGTGGGGGGAGGGGGGGGACACGTGGGGGGGGGGGGGACACACGTGGGGGGGGGGGACGCTTGGGGGGGAGAGACGTGGGGGGGGACACACGTGGGGGGGGGCACGTGGGGGGGGGGGGGGGGGGGAGTCACGTGGGGGGGGGGGACACCGACCTCCTGGAAGAGGCGGCTCATCTCGCACACCAGGCAGGACTCGGGGCTCTCCATCTCACAGCGGTGGCGGTCCGACAAGAAGAAGTCGCGCAGCAGCGGCGTGTGCGTCAGGGCCTGCACGATGCAGTTCATGAAGCACGTGTTGCCCAGGTTCACCAGGCCGCGCAGGCCTGCACACACGGAAACATCCCCCGTGTCGCCTTCAAGGGCTGTTGGGGCCAAGCGCGACCGATACCAACAAACGCCATTTGCCGGTAAGTGACGGTGACGTCATCACGGCGCCCGTGCCGGGCTAGGTGCACGTTGAGGCTATCGCGTGAAGCGTCGAAGACTCTCGCCGCCGACAGGAGGTCACGGGACAGACGCAGCAGGTGCCATGGATTGGCTGACTGAGATGACCGTTCGATGCACCAGCTGTACCCCTTACTGTGCCAGGCTAGGTGCAGGAGGTCACGGGACAGGCCCGGCGGGTGCCATGGGTTGGCTGACTGAGATGACCGTTCAATGCACCAGCTGTACCCCTTACTGTGCCAGGCTAGGTGCAGGAGGTCATGGGACAGGCCCGGCGGGTGCCATGGGTTGGCTGACTGAGATGACCGTTCAATGCACCAGCTGTATCCCTTACTGTGCCAGGCTAGGTGCAGGAGGAGGTCACGGGACAGGCCCGGCGGGTGCCATGGATTGGCTGACTGAGATGAGCGGTCGATGCATCAGCTGTACCCTCTACTGTGCCAGGCTAGGTGCAGGAGGAGGTCACGGGACAGGCCCGGCGGGTGCCATGGGTTGGCTGACTGAGATGACCGTACGATGCACCAGCTGTACCCTCTACTGTGCCAGGTAGGCATCGACCGCTCATCTCAGTCAGCCAACCCAATGGCGCCTGCTGCGTCTGTTCTGTGAGCGGGTGGATTTTTACACTCGCGCAGGAGAAGGGCGCTTTCAGTTTGACGTTTCTTTATTGAAAGTGAATCTAATAAATAAATCTATGCAGCAACAAAATTGATTTGCTTCTTTATTTATTTCTTCAGCTCTTGAGACAAAAGGTAAGCCTAATTTATGCTTCTACATGATGGTAAAATAGACATTTCTCGGTGATTTTCCAGATATTGTATCGAATTCCGATTTATTTCAACCCCAGTGACCGAAAGCAGAAGAGAATAAAGTATCAGAGCAGTGAATTTGAACAAATTGAAGGTCAGTTATATACAGTGCTACAGTGAACTGCAGTGAGGTGTTTTATGACTTCGTTTTGTGCAAGATTCACTGCCATTAAATTTACACAAGATACAATTTTTTTCGTAAATATTACAGCTTCCATCCTAGGACGGGCAAAGAAGCTAGCTGGCATGAATGACTCTGAATAAAACTAAATTATTACTATTATTATTAGCGAGTAGCACCTGTGAAGGCCGGCACGTCACACGAGGGGGTGGGTGGCCAGCATCATGCCCGGCCGCCTTTGTCTCCCCAGTGCCGATATTTTACACATCGCACCGGGTACTCATTTGAGGCCGAGTCGATCTAGCAGAGGGCCAGGACCGGTTGACAAGATATTTGTCACGGTTGTTGTTTGCCGTGAGCGGGATTTGAACTTGGGCCACCGGGTAACAAGTCCACTGGACATCGGTGAAAAAGAGCTTCATAGCTCATCAGATTCCTCCTGCTGCTGCTGCAGTCGACACAAAGATTGTGAATCAGTCCCAACCCCCACTTTCAACTAGAATTCTCCCGAGCACGGCACGGAACGGACTTGCTGCTCCACCTCCCCAACACGACGGCGGCAGGACTGCCACCAGGGCTGAATTCGCCGCCCTTACACCGGGAGGGATCGTGGTCGTTGTTGGGCGTCAAAGAGGCTTTGTTAAGGGAAAGAAACATGAGGCTTCCCCGATGGCCTCCTTCTCCTCCTCCACCCCTCCAAGCCAGATTCAGCGGCTCGGCCCGTCGCAAGACGGCCGGCGCTGTGGCCGTTGGCAGCACCTGCGCCGGAAACGCTCACCGATGGTGCAGTTGGGCGCAATCTTGCGTCGCTTGGGGTTCTGCCGCAGCAGCTCGAGCTCCCGCCGCGTTGGCTCCCAGCTGGTGTAGCGGTCGCCCAGTCCTGACCACGCGGACAACACACAACGAGAAGTGGGGGGGGGGGGGGGGGGGCGAGGGGGGGCGCGGGCGATGTCAGAGCACCGCATTGGCGGAGCGGCGCTCCAAACCGCAACACAAAGGCGGGAGCAGCAGCCGGTGATCTCCGTGCCGGCTGAGGCACTGGTGCTCCCTCTCCTGCTTACCGTCTAGAGTCAGCGGTGGAGATACCACATTGCCATGGCCGAGGGTCAATGCGTATGAGAAGCGCTGTCGAATTCGTCGTGAAGTGCTGCTCATTGTATCGGCCAGCGGAGTCGACTCCGTTGGTCGTGGATTTGAACTCTCGACCTTTCCCGAACGAGAGCCGCTCGCTCTGCCGTCCGAGCCCAAATCTAACAACGAAGCCATTTTTACTTACCAGGTAAGGCTCCACTGAACTCTATTGCTCTTTTTCCTAAGCGACCTGGCTATCACAAGTGAATGCTAAACGAAGTGGCTTATCATCACGTGGAAATTTATAGTAGCAGCCAAATACTATACAGGACATCTTTGTCTTTGTGGAGCGTGTGCGTCGCGTGCACGCACCCTGCAGTTTCCAGGCCTTGCGCTGCTCCTCCCTGGCGATCTGCTCGGCATCGCGATCGTACACGTAGTCTCCGCACTGGAAGCAGTAGATGGTGCCGTGGTACAGGTCGATCGCTGCACAGACATCGGGGGGACACGCCGACCCGCCGGCCGACAATCAGAATCACAATTTGTTTGACATCGAACAATTAGCCGCGACGATTCGCTGGTACAGTAGGTACCTCGATATGCGAATATTCCATAAAGGGAGATTCGTTAAAACGAACTTTGGATTTATACTTTAAAGAAAATATATTTCCATTCCTTTGAGTAATTTACGGTACTATATAAAAATTATAATACGTTATAGATTATTGACGATTGCGCATCGCGATCTTTGTTTCATGTCTGTTTTTTTATTTTGATCAGAATATTTATTTATGCTGGAGGAATCCAATGAGCTATAAACCTCTTATTCACAGGCGTCTAGTCGGGGCGGATCAGAGCGTTAGAACAAAGAATAGCAACACATGACAGGAGTGAACATTAATGCCAAGGTAGACAAATCACTTCAAACCAATATACAAGTTTGGCCCACTGAGCCGTTACCTTCGTTCTCAGAAGTAACCCAGCTATCACAAATTACACCTCAACAAAGTGGCTTATCATGTACAAGATGCATGGTAAGTCATGAAGTGTTTACAGTCCGAGACGGTAAATGACGAAGGCTGGGTACGCATCCCCGTTGTACTCAAGTTATAAGTTGTTCAAGGTACGAAGCTCCAGGAAGGCATCCATCTACTTGGTCTCATCAGGCGATTGACAGAATTGTGAAAATGTCCTGTGATCCTGGGCCTTCCGGTATGCGGTGTGACGTCATCAACCTACGCCTACAGGTGATGCAACAAGTAGCAGCAAGTGCCACCTGCAGGTTAACGTGGTGCCATAAAATATAATAAAGTAAAAACCATAAACTATTTTTATTTTACTGGGTAAGGCCCACCGAGCTGTGTAGCTCTTATTCAGAAGGGGCCTGGCCACAAACTGATAGCTCAACGAAGTGGGGCTCAACCATCATGTGGAAATTTACAGGAGTCAAGTAAACGCATATTTATTCATGTGGAGGGAACAACCGGAGGACACGGAGAAATCTGCACGACCACGGGGAGAGAGAGACACGCAAACTCCAAATATACAGCAGCAGGCATCGGGGTCAGGATCGAACTCACGACCTCCTGTATACCAGGCGAGGTAGTTAACATCTTGTCACCCCAATGTGACAATAATACATTACGCCGCATGCCTTTTGTCACGCGCTATGGACACAGTTGGACGAAAACGCTGTTTGCGAGCGCCCGTTGTGTCTCCGATTACTGATGACGACGAACCAGGGACTGCTGTGATTTGTTTTGCCGAATTATTCTCCGGACGGTTGAGCTTTCGAGGCTCAAACAAAGCGCTGGCTGCATTCATCCCGGTGCACAAACATCAGTTCACCACCCACGTGACGCACCGACCGCCATGGTGCCACTCACAGTGGTATGACCACATCACCATGGCACCCACACCAAATTTGCTGACTGGAGGTCATAGTACAGACCATTGTATTTGTACTGTAGTACTACTCTGCTTGTTAACCCAGGAAAACCTCACCTGTACTGGTTGTACATTGCAAACAATTTCAATGTGGCATTCTATGTAAACCTATTCAACAATGTTTTTGTCTTGACAGGTAAGGCCCACCGAGCCTGACATCATTTTTTTAAGAAGCAACCTGGTCACAAATGATAACCCAATTAAGTGGCTTGTCATGTGGAAATTCACGTGACCACGGGGAGAGAGACACGCAAACTCCAAATATAAAGCAGCAGGCATCAGGGTCGGAATCCAACCCACAACCTCCCGCATACCAGGCAAGCTAGTTAACATCTCGCCGCCGCGGCAAAAGCAGCAGCATCTGGTGCCACGGTGACTAGGAGATGTTAACAACCTCGCCTGGGATGAAGGAGGTCGTGGGTTCAATCCCGACTCTGACGACTCTTGCTGTGTTTGCGTGCCTCTCTCCCCGTGGATTTTCCCGGGTGCTCCGGTTTTTTACTTCCACATTTAGAATCAACATCACGTGTTTAGAGTGTTTGGCTGCTAGAAATTTGCACGTGATAAGCCACTTCGTTGAGCTATAATTTGTGACCAGGTTGCTTCTTTAAAAAATGCTAGGTAGCTCAGTGGGCCTTACCTGGTAGAATAAAAAATAGTTTAAGTTGTAGTTTTAGTTTCACATTTCTCCAACTTAATTGCAACCGCCCTACGACCGGTCTAAAAATAACCTGCCCCAGATGACGTATGCTGCGGGGGAATTTATTATTGGACGCGGATTTATGTTGGTCGCTGCAGCGTTCTAGATTTTTCTCACGTCACAACGCAGTTGTTGTTTCTTCTGCGTCAACTCATCTTCGCTCGATAGCCGCGCTCTACTCTACTTGCTTTGCTCTCGTCGTTTTTGGTCATCCTGGTCACTCGTGCAAATGAGACTTATCCCGGTCTCTCTTGAGTTCTATAACCTGGCCGCACAGAATCAACTTCACTCAACTTCACTCAAGAGACTTTGTGGATTGAACCCCCCACCCATCCCCCCCACCACTCCTCGCCCTCTTTCCTCCACCAAAGACAAAGATCCCCCATATAGCCTCAACAGATTATTTTGGGGGGGCAAGTGCTGTTAGAGAATGTCTGGCACCAACAGCCATTCTCGTATCCAATCCTGCCAACCAACATCACCCTCAGTTGAACAACATCCCCCTTGTGGCCAAAGTGGCATTCGCCGATATCCAAAATGAATGAATGAAAAGTAAATGAATGTGGGCGGGCGGCCAGCCCCCCCTCCTCCTCCCCCCCGCTTTTTGACGACGTCACGACGCGTTGCTGGAAACGTCGTCGTCGTAAAACCGGAACCCCGTTTCCCCATGGACGGCAGAAACGGCAGAAAGATCAGGGTTTCACAATGATCATTTACATTTGTAAAGCGCCTTCTCATCCAAGGATCCCAATGCGCCAACCGTGTATGGAAAGCGGGGAAATAAGACGGAACCAGCGGCGTAAACGATCAAAACTATGGAGGAAAGGGCGATTCTAAAGACGTGAGTTTGCAGGGCGAGATTTAAATAGAACCCAGACTAGAACCCAGACTAGGACCCAGACTAGGACCCAGTAAGGTGTTGATAGTACCGTGTTGATAGTACCGTGTTGATAGTAACGTGTTGATAGTAACGTGTTGCTAGTACCGTGTTGATAGTAACGTGTTGCTAGTTACGTGTTGATAGAGTACCGTGTTGCTAATAAGGTGTTGCGAGCCATGTGGTTACGTTGTGCAGCACGGTCTGTCTCTGTCATGCCCTGCACTGCGTGTTCTGTTAATATTTATGCACGACAGTGGAGTGTGGGCTCCGCATGCTAAACAGCGCATCCACATTTAGACTCGAGCTAGGCGAGATATTATCTCCCTCGCCTGGTATGCGGGAGGTCGTGGGTTCGACCCCGATGCCTGCGTCTCTCTCCCCGTGGTCGCGTGGATTTTTCTCTCCGGCTCCCCGGGTTTTTCCCTCCACATTTATAAAACACATCACACGTTTAGAGTATGTAGCTGGCGCTATAAATGTCCACGTGATAACAAGAAGTCACTTCGTTGAGCTATCATTTGTGATAGCCAGGTCGTTCATTGCTCATTGGGCCTTACCTGGTAAGACAAGAAACAGTTCAGTTCATAGTGTATAGAGTGCAGTGCCCGCACTGCACCTGCCCTGGGAAGCCACTCCTCCCTGCCCCCGTGCGTGTGTGCCCCGCGGACACCCACAGAGCGGGTGGTGGTGGAGCGTAGTGGTGGAAGAGCGTGGTGGTGGAGCGTAGTGGTGGAAGAGCGTGGTGGTGGAGCGTAGTGGTGGAAGAGCGTGGTGGCATCTAGGGCCTTCCGGTGTTGAGTGAGGTGAGTGGGTGAGCGCGGTGAGCGGGGTTGGAGCGGGGTGAGCGGGGTTTCGAGCGAGCGTACCGAGCGGGTGGCGCTTGGCCTTGGCGTGCTCGTGGATGTGGCGCCGAGCGAAGCAGCCGAAGAAGACGCAGTAGAGGCACGAGTGCAGGCGGCTGAAGTGGGCACCGCACAGCTGGCACACGCACGACAGGGCCTGGCCACGCACACCACACGCACACACCACACACACCACACACACCACACACACCACACACACCACACCACACACACCACACACACCACACGCACACACCACACACACCAAACACACACCACACACCACACGCACACACCACACCACACACACCACACACACCACACACACACCACACACCACACGCACACACCACACCACACACACACCACACACCACACGCACACACCACACCACACACACCACACACACACCACACACCACACGCACACACCACACCACACACACACCACACGCACCACACGCACCACACACGCACCACACACGCACCACACGCACCACACGCACCACACACACACCACACACACCACACACACCACACACACCACACACACACCACACACACACCACACACACCACACACACACCACACACCACACACACACACACACACACACACCACACACACACCACACACACACCACACACACCACACACACCACACACACACCACACACACACCACACACCACACACACACCACACACACACCACACACCACACACACACCACCACACACACACCACACACGCACCACACACACACCACACACACCACACACACACCACACACACACCACACACACACACACACACCACACACACCACACACACACCACACACACACCACACACACACCACACACACACCACACACCACACACACACCACACACCACACACACACCACACACACACCACACACACCACACACCACACACACACCACACACACACCACACACACACCACACACACACCACACACACCACACACACACCACACACACCACACACACACCACACACACCACACACACACCACACACACCACACACACACCACACACACCACACACACCACACCACACACACCACACACACACACACCACACACACACCACACACACCACACACACACCACACACACAACCACACACACCACACACACCCACCACACACACCACACACACACCACACACACACCACACACACACCACACACACACCACACACACCACCACACACACCACACACACACCACACGCACCACACGCACACACACCACACGCACACACACACACACCCACACACACCACACACACCACACACGCACACACCACACCACACACACCACACACACCACACACACACCACACGCACCACACACACCACACACACCACACACACCACACACACACCACACGACACCACACACACCACACACACACACCACACACCACACCACACCACACACACACCACACACACCACACCACACACACCACACACACACACACACCACACACCACACACACACCACGCACACACCACACCACACACACCACACACACACCACACACACACACACCACACACACACCACACACACCACACACACCACGCACACCACCACACACACCACACGCACACACACACACCACACACACCACACGCACACACCACCACACACCACCACACACCACACACACCACACGCACACCACACGCGCACCACACACACACCACACGCACACACCACACACACACACCACACACACACACCACACACACCACCACACACCACCACACACATCACACACACACCACACAGCAACATACAGATCGTCAACTCGTATATAACAGGCTGGTAGCTCGCACAACAACAACAGCACAACAACAACGGCACAACAACAACAGCATGTACTATACGAGTTTATCCAGGAATGCCTCAATGAGTCCCAGTGTTTATCTCAGGAGGCTCCTGCCCGGCTGAGTGCGGCAGGGGGTGATGCTGCTGCTGCTGTAGCTGCTGCTGCAGCTGCTGCTGCTGCTGTTTACGTGATCCCAGCTGAAAGCGGCTACACGTTGTAGGCGACTTCTAGAGCGCATGGAGGAACCCGGAGAAGCCAACGGAGCACAGCGGGAGAGAGCGACAGGGAGAGAGAGAAGTACAAACTCCACACAGACACGCACCCGAGTCGGGACTCGAACCTAGGGGCTCTTTGCTGTGAGGTGCAAGCGTCAGTAACCGCTGAGCTGGCACCCTGAGTAGGGGAGGACTGACGCGGGGCGACGCCACGCAACAACAATCAGTTTAAAGTGTAATTATCATGACCTGTGGTTCATCTTTACGTTACTATGTACCTTGCTCCAAAGAGTATCCATTCACCGTTATTTGTACGATTTCCCGCACCTCCGATTAGCACGGTTAGCCACGTGCGGTGCGAAAGAAGTTCAAACGAACGAACGCGCACACGCTAAGCGAGCGAGGAGATTTGCCAGTGCGACGTTAAAGTGCAACGATTCAAAACATCAGCAAAACAAGTGAATTATAGAGCCCCAATTAAACTAAAGGGAAATTAACATTCTCATTGAGCCAAACAGCCTCGACAGACACCGTGATTGAGTGACTACGGAAATCCGTGGGGCACCGACTTGGACGTGCACCCTGGACTGCATCATGAGCCTCATTCGGAACAGAATCAACCCGGGGGGGGGGGGGGCGCCCTCAGGGCCCCCCTCCCTGCGATAGAAAATCAGCCACGTGACATGCGACCTTTGAAGAAATCAAGCAAATCTAAAAAGGTGACCACGTGGTGGATGGTGCTGGGGGTGGGGGAGATGGGGGGGTGGGGGAGATGGGGGGGGTGGGGGAGATGTGGGGGGGTGGGGGAGATGGGGGGGTGTGGGGGAGAAGGGGGAGATGGGGGGGGTGGGGGAGATGGGGGGGTGGGGGAGATGGGGGGTGGGGGAGATGGGGGGGGGGTGGGCGAGATGTGGGGGGGTGGGGGAGATGGGGGGGGTGTGGGGGAGAAGGGGGGGATGGGGGAGATGGGGGGGTGGGGGAGATGGGGGGGGGGCGAGATGTGGGGGGGTGGGGGAGATGGGGGGGTGTGGGGGAGAAGGGGGAGATGGGGGGGGGTGGGGGAGATGGGGGGGTGGGAGAGATGGGGGGGTGGGGGAGATGGGGGGGTGGGAGAGATGGGGGGGTGGGGGAGATGGGGGGGTGGGAGAGATGGGGGGTGGGGGAGATGGGGGGGTGGGAGAGATGGGGGGGTGGGGGAGATGGGGGGGTGGGGGAGATGGGGGGGGTGGGGGAGATGGAGGGGGTGGGGGAGATGGGGGGGGAGATGGGGGGTGGGGGAGATGGGTGAATGGGGCAACACTGGAGGCAGCAGATGGCGGCCCATGTTATGGCCGATTAATGATCTATGACCGAGATGTTGACTACATCGCCTGTAATACAGGAGGTCGACCGTGGGTCAGACCCCGACGCCTGTAGAATTGGAGTTTGCTTCTCTCTCTCTCTCTGGTCGCGTGGATTTTGTCTCCGGGTCCTCCGGCTTCTCCCTCCACATTTACAATCAACGTGCTTTTAGAGTTGTGGCTGCTATACATGTCCACGTGATGATGATGATGAGCCACTTCTTCATTGGGCTATCATTTGTGACCAGTGAGGACTTCCGTGGTAAAATAAAGATAAAATAGTTTAGTTTATAGGCAAAATGGAAGATCCGTGATCTGTGACCGAGGTCAAAACCTGTGATTTGCCCGCTCAATGCAATGAGTTGTGGGCCCCGCATGGCGGATTGACAGCGAGAAGACGAGCTGTACAGCACAAATCGCAGCCGAGCACACAGCTCGCCAAACACAGCGACAACAGACACCGCTAGGCACACACAGAGCCAGAGCCATAGGCATATCCATAGCAACAACTACAGCCCCACACAGCCACAGCCACTACACCCAGTCAGCTACAGCCTCACACAGCCACAATGACGTAGAACACAACTACAGTCAAGGGACACATCTCATGCTATAGTCACAGACCGAGCTGGAGTTACTGACACTCACACAGCTCGTTACATCTACAGCCAGCTAGTCAGACGTGTCTAGTCAGATACAAGCAGGCAAACACATCTAGTCAACAGGCAGACACAGCTACAGTCACAGCTACAGTCAGATCAACATTCAGACACAGCTGGGGAGACATCTACTGGCAGCTACACCGAATGATCAAACAGCGACAGGCAGACCCACCTGCAGCTACAAGCAGACGCATCTACAGAGAGCTTCAGGCAGACGAATCTCCAGATATAATTACAGGCGGACACGTTGATCCAGCTACAGGAAGACAAAACGCACGTACACTACAGGCTGACACAACTACATTCAGACACTCAGACAAACACACCTACATTCAGACACCCACAGACAGACAAACACACCTACATTCAGACACTCACAGACAGACAAACACACCTACATTCAGACACTCACAGACAAATACACCTACATACAGACACCCACAGACAGACAAACACACCTACATTCAGACACTCACAGACAGACAAACACATCTACATTCAGACACTCACAGACAGACAAACACACCTACATTCAGACACTCACAGAGAGACAAACACACCTACATTCAGACACTCACAGACAGACAAACACATCTACATTCAGACACTCACAGACAGACAAACACACCTACATTCAGACACTCACAGAGAGACAAACACACCTACATTCAGACACACACAGACAGACAAACACACCTACATTCAGACACTCACAGACAGACAAACACACCTACATTCAGACATTCACAGACAGACAAACACATCTACATTCAGACACCCACAGACAGACAACCACACCTACATTCAGACACTTACAGACAGACAAACACACCTACATTCAGACACCCACAGACAGACAAACACACCTACATTCAGACACAGACAAACACACCTACATTCAGACACTCACAGACAGACAAACACACCTACATTCAGACACAGACAAACACACCTACATTCAGACACTCACAGACAGACAAACACACCTACATTCAGACACTCACAGACAGACAAACACATCTACATTCAGACACTCACAGACAGACAAACACACCTACATTCAGACACTCAGAGAGACAAACACACCTACATACAGACACCCACAGACAGACAAACACACCTACAATCAGACACTCACAGACAGACAAACACATCTACATTCAGACACTCACAGACAGACAAACACACCTACATTCAGACACTCACAGAGAGACAAACACACCTACATTCAGACACCCACAGACAGACAAACACACCTACATTCAGACACTCACAGACAGACAAACACACCTACATTCAGACACTCACAGACAGACAAACACACCTACATTCAGACACTCACAGACAGACAAACAAACACACCTACATTCAGACACCCACAGACAGACAAACACACCTACATTCAGACACTCACAGACAGACAAACACACCTACATTCAGACATTCACAGACAGACAAACACATCTACATTCAGACACCCACAGACAGACAAACACACCTACATTCAGACAATCACAGACAGACAAACACACCTACATTCAGACACTCACAGACAGACAAACACACCCACATTCAGACACTCACAGACAGACAAACACACCTACATTCAGACACAGACAAACACACCTACATTCAGACACTCACAGACAGACAAACACACCTACATTCAGACACTCACACACAGACAAACAAACACACCTACATTCAGACACCCACAGACAGACAAACACACCCACATTCAGACACCCACAGACAGACAAACACACCTACATTCAGACACTCACAGACAGACAAACACATCTACATTCAGACACCCACAGACAGACAACCACACCTACATTCAGACACTTACAGACAGACAATCACACCTACATTCAGACACCCACAGACAGACAAACACACCTACATTCAGACACTCACAGACAGACAAACACACCTACATTCAGACACTCACAGAGAGACAAACACACCTACATTCAGACACTCACAGACAGACAAACACACCTACATTCAGACACTCACAGACAGACAAACACACCTACATTCAGACACTCACAGACAGACAAACACACCTACATTCAGACACAGACAAACACACCTACATTCAGACACTCACAGACAGACAAACACACCTACATTCAGACACAGACAAACACACCTACATTCAGACACTCACAGACAGACAAACACACCTACATTCAGACACTCACAGACAGACAAACACATCTACATTCAGACACTCACAGACAGACAAACACACCTACATTCAGACACTCAGAGAGACAAACACACCTACATACAGACACCCACAGACAGACAAACACACCTACAATCAGACACTCACAGACAGACAAACACATCTACATTCAGACACTCACAGACAAACACACCTACATTCAGACACTCACAGAGAGACAAACACACCTACATTCAGACACTCACAGACAGACAAACACACCTACATTCAGACACTCACAGACAGACAAACACACCTACATTCAGACACTCACAGACAGACAAACACACCTACATTCAGACACTCACAGACAGACAAACAAACACACCTACATTCAGACACCCACAGACAGACAAACACACCTACATTCAGACACTCACAGACAGACAAACACACCTACATTCAGACATTCACAGACAGACAAACACATCTACATTCAGACACCCACAGACAGACAAACACACCTACATTCAGACACTCACAGACAGACAAACACACCTACATTCAGACACTCACAGACAGACAAACACACCCACATTCAGACACTCACAGACAGACAAACACACCTACATTCAGACACAGACAAACACACCTACATTCAGACACTCACAGACAGACAAACACACCTACATTCAGACACTCACACACAGACAAACACACCCACATTCAGACACCCACAGACAGACAAACACACCCACATTCAGACACCCACAGACAGACAAACACACCCACATTCAGACACCCACAGACAGACAAACACACCTACATTCAGACACCCACAGACAGACAAACACACCCACATTCAGACACCCACAGACAGACAAACACACCCACATTCAGACACTCACAGACAGACAAACACACCTACATTCAGACACTCACAGACAGACAAACACACCCACATTCAGACACCCACAGACAGACAAACACACCCACATTCAGACACCCACAGACAGACAAACACACCCACATTCAGACACCCACAGACAGACAAACACACCTACATTCAGAAACTCACAGACAGACAAACACACCTACATTCAGACACTCACAGATCATTGTTTTAACGCTGTGGGCTCACACGAAATTGTTTTTTCCAAGACGGAGGTGCTCTGCAAACCTACTGGCTATCTTCAGAGATTTGTTCATGAAGCCATCCAGGTATATAAATACCGACACAACTTCAACCGAGAGGATGGGTACAAACTGAGCTATCATTGGAAGGACGTTATTAACCAGGTAAAGTCTTAACTGACTGTGATGTTTCCATCCTACCTGCCTATGTCAGCTGTTATTTCCGACTCTTGGATTGCACTCTCATGCTCACATGTCATCTCTCATGTCTCTGGATTGCACCACTCTTTGTTCTTACAGTTACATGCTAATTTCTCACATTAACATCACTAGCCCCGGCCACTTCTTCATGGGCTACACCCATTTCAAACCTTTTTAAAACAGTCTGCCTCAGCAGCAGACCATGCTTTCCCACCTGATGACGGATGCTTGTGTTGCACCCGAAACGTCGTGATTTATTTTATTTTCTACCTACGTGACTTTACCGAAAGAACCAAGGAGTATGGATTCCTGCAGTCACGAAAGCTTCAAATCAAGATCACTACCACCACTACCTCCACCACCATTTCCTCTACCACCACCACTTCTACCACCACCACCACCTCCTCCACCACCACCACCACCCTCCTCCACCACCTCCACCACCTCCACCACCTCCACCTCCTCCTCCACCACCATCACCACCACCACCCTCCTCCTCCACCACCACCTCCTCCACCACCTCCTCCTCCACCACCACCTCCTCCACCACCATCACCTCCTCCACCACCACCTCCTCCACCACCACCACCTCCTCCACCACCACCTCCACCACCACCTCCTCCTCCACCATCATCACCACCACCACCCTCCTCCTCCACCACCACCTCCTCCTCCACCACCATCACCACCACCACCACCTCCTCCACCACCACCACCACCTCCTCACCTTCCTGCGCCGCGCTTCCCCCGTGGCGCTCCACACGAACCACTGGTAGATCACTCGCAGCTGCTGCCTCCATTGCGCCTGCTCCGCCTTGAGGACGCACACGTGCGCGCATCCACCCTGGCCGCTCATCACCCCTCCTCCTCCTCCTCGTCACCTCTTCCTCTCCACCTCCTCTCCACCTCTTCCTCGTCACCACCTTCTCTTCCTCTCCACCTCCTCTTCGGCCCAGCTCCACCTCGGCCTCAGCACCGGCAGCGGCATATACAGCGCGTGGGTGTGGGAGTCACTCGAGTAGCACTTGCCCCGACGATCCGTTAAGGCTACACGGGGGACCTTTGTCTTTGTAGCCGACTCGACTCGCTGCGTCTGACTGTACGGCTATAGCCGTCCGCCTGTAGGCGCCGCGTCTGCCCGTAGCCCGGTAAGAAGGTAGCTACTTCTGTGTCTGCTGGACATGCGTCCGACTGTCGCCTGAATATGTGACTCTAGCTCCAACTCTGTCCGACTGTAGCTGTGCGACTGTAGCTTCTGTGTCTGCTGGACATGCGTCCGGCTGTAGCCTGAATGTGACTCTAGCTCCCACTCTGTCCCACTGTAGCTGTGCGACTGTAGCTTGTGTCTGCTGGACATGCGTCCGGCTGTAGCCTGAATGTGACTCTAGCTCCCACTCTGTCCCACTGTAGCTGTGCGACTGTAGCTTCTGTGTCTGCTGGACAGGCGTCCGACTGCGGCTATATGACCGCACTGCCCACGAGATGCGACTGTGGCTCTGTAGCTGTCCGCCTGTAGCCGCGTCCGATTGCGGCTGTCGGCGCCCCGTGAAACGGAGTGGAGACGCAGCGAGATGGAGGGAGGGAGGGAGACGGATGAACGAGACGCCGCAGCTGGAGGGGGGTTCGCGTGGATGAGACGCGGGGCTCGGGGCGGCGGAGAGCGCCGCGAAGGGATGGAGACGACGACGGGACAAAGGCAAAGGTCCCCCCGGTAGCCTCCAGCACAACGTGGGGGGCGGTGTGGCCGGCCCCACGCCCGACCGCCTTTGTCTCCCCAGCGGCGATGGGATTTTTGTTTTATTCTTTTACACACCGCGCCAGGTTCTTATTTGAGGCCGAGTCGACCTAGGGGAGGTTCACCGCTGTCAGTGGCCGGGGGGATCGAACTCGGGTGGCCTCTGCCGGGTTCGCGATGGCAGCGCGGCTCGTCGCTTCGCTCGCGAGGAGAAGCGATCACACACACAGGGAGACAGGGAGACAGAGACAGGGAGACAGAGACAGGGAGACAGGGAGACAGAGACAGGGAGAGAGAGACAGGGAGACAGAGACAGGGAGAGAGATAGAGACACAGGGAGAGAGACAGGGAGACAGAGACACAGGGAGACAGAGACACAGGGAGAGAGAGAGACAGGTAGAGACAGAGACAGGGAGACAGAGACAGGGACACAGGGAGAGAGACAGGGAGAGAGATAAGGAGACAGGGAGAGAGACACACACACGAGACACAGGGAGAGAGACACAGGGAGAGAGACACACACACAAGAGAGACAGGGAGAGAGAGACAGGGAGAGAGAATGTCTTTAGAGAGACTGAGAGAGAGTGGGGGGTGAAGAGCTACACAGCCCCGAGCTGCCGGACACACGCGACACGATGGGGGGGCAGCAGCAGCAGCAGGAGGAGGAAGAGGAGCGCCCCGTGGGGATGAGCGCGACCCCTCGGCACCCCCCGGTGGGAGATGGAGCGAGCGAGCGAGCGCCTCTCTCTTCGCCTCTCTCCTCGTCTTCCCTGCGTCTCTCTGCGTCTCTCGTCGTCTTCGTCGTCGTCTCTCTCCGCGATTCTCTCAGAGGCGACGGCGGCGATGCCGGGCACCGCGCTGCATTGTGGGAGGATCTGACCCCGAGCCGCGGGGCATGCCGGGAGCCCGCGCCGCCCACGTGGGTGCCGGCTCGAGCGGGGCAGCACCCACGTGACGCCGTCGGCGCTGTCAATCGCGGCGCGGGGGGTGAAGAGGAGAGGACGGGCGACGTTTCGAGCAACGACCCTCCCGCCCCCCCCAGAGCAACATCAACACGGAGGGAGGAACCCCACGCAGAGCAGCAGCAGCAGCACGAGGTGGTAACGAGGTGTGTAACGAGGTGGTAACGAGGTAGTAACAAGGTGGCAACGAGGGGTGTAACGAGGTGGTAACGAGGTAGTAACAAGGTGGTAACGAGGGGTGTAACGAGGTGGTAACGAGGTGGTAACGAAGTGTGTAACGAGGTAGTAACGAGGTAGTAACGAGATGGTAACGATGTGTGTAACGAGGTGGGTAACGAGGTGGTAACGAGGTGAGTGGTGCCCAAGCGCAGTGCTCGATCCGCCTGACATCTGGGGGGGTTGTTGTGGTTCCCAGCCAGCGGTATCCCCCAACAAAGTTCGAACAGCAGCAGCACAACAACAATAGCGGTGGTGGTGGTGGTGGTGACCTCCTCCGATTCCCCCTGGATACACGTTGAGTACAACGCGGCCTTTTCACATCCCAGACGCCAGTCTTCACATCCCCTTCATGCCCCCCCCACCTCATCTCGCCTCTCTCATCTCCCTCCGTGTCTCGTCCTCTTCGTATCCAATCTTCTCTCCGTCCCTCCTCCTCCTCCCTGTTCGGTCCTTCTCCCTCCTTGCAGCCCTCCACTGGAATCAACTTCCCCTGCACATTGAGCAGCACTGCTACCCATAGACTCAGCACTGCTACCCATAGACTCAGCACTGCTACCCATAGACTCAGCACTGCTACCCATAGACTCAGCACTGCTACCCATAGACTCAGCACTGCTACTCATAGACTCAGCACTGCTACCCATAGACTCAGCACTGCTACCCATAGACTCAGCACTGCTACCCATAGACTCAGCACTGCTACTCATAGACTCAGCACTGCTACCCATAGACTCAGCACTGCTACCCATAGACTCAGCACTGCTACTCATAGACTCAGCACTGCCCATAGACTCAGCACTGCTACCCATAGACTCAGCACTGCTACTCATAGACTCAGCACTGCTACTCATAGACTCAGCACTGCTACCCATAGACTCAGCACTGCTACCCATAGACTCAGCACTATTACCCATAGACTCAGCACTGCTACCCATAGACTCAACAATACCCATAGACTCAGCACTGCCACCCATAGACTCAGCACTGCTACCCATAGACTCAGCACTGCTACCCATAGACTCAGCACTGCCACCCATAGACTCAGCACTGCTACCCATAGACTCAGCACTGCTACCCATAGACTCAGCACTGCTACCCATAGACTCAGCACTGCTACCCATAGACTCAGCACTGTTACCCATAGACTCAGCACTGCCACCCATAGACTCAGCACTGCCACCCATAGACTCAGCACTGTTACCCATAGACTCAGCACTGCTACCCATAGACTCAGCGTTGTTACCCATATACTCAGCACTGCTACCCATAGACTCAACACTACCCATAGACTCAGCACTGCTACCCATAGACTCAACACTGTTACCCATAGACTCAGCACTGTTACCCATAGACTCAGCACTGCTACCCATAGACTCAACACTGCTACCCATAGACTCAGCACTGTTACCCAGACTCAGCACTGCTACCCATAGACTCAACACTACCCATAGACTCAACACTGCTACCCATAGACTCAGCACTGTTACCCATAGACTCAGCACTGCTACCCATAGACTCAGCACTGCTACCCATAGACTCAGCACTGCTACCCATAGACTCAGCACTGCTGCCCATAGACTCAACACTGCCCACAGACTCGACACTGCCCACAGACTCAACACTGCCCACAGACTCAACACTGCCCACAGACTCATAGACTAATTTGTTTAGAACAGCTTTTGTGTTTAGTTTGTTGTCCTTCCTCCGCACCTCCAATTAGCACGGTTGGCTACGTACGGTGCGAAAGAAGTTCAACGTACATCTACGTATCCCTGCAAATAAAAGAGATTTCCAGCCGCTTACAACATTGTAAGATTATATTTATTATGTATTCTCTGTAAATATGTTCAATGAAATGTAAAACACACGAATAAACATGCCTCCTCTCGTCTTGACTCATCTTCATATTTATATATTGCACTGCCGATACCATGCTTTATTCACCAGCCTTTCAGGACGGGAAGGTATTACAGCATTAGATAAATAAGACATTCCCCCCTTGTTGGCTTTGCTAAAATATAAATTAGTTTGACCTGAATAACTATCTCGGAAACTTCAGTCCTCGGGAGTTTCAAGCTACCTGGATACGAAGACGCGGCCTCGTTCCGTCGTGCGTCATCGCAACGCTCAGCCTGGAACAATCCCTCCCTCCCCCCCGGACAAGAGCCACACACTCCCCAGAATTAACAAGTGGGCGCCCAGTGTCACGCTGCCATTCGTTTTACGAATTAAAACATTCCACTTGAAAAATCCGTCTAGACGGAGTATCTCGTTTGTACGTACGTGCGTTGAACTTCATTCGCACCGTACGTAGCCAACCGCGCTAAAGGGAGGTGCGGAGGGGGGGAAGGACGACAAGGGCATCCAGGGTGTCGCGTGACACGTGCGCAGCAAACGCGGACATGCCACGGGCCACGCCGGACTTTAAAGAGCAGAGCCAACGCGCGGTAACAGGCGCGTTCCTGGGACACGTTCGCAGTCATCGCGGCGCGTCGCATAAAGTGCAGATCCGACGTTCGCCGCTTCGCTCGCATCGCCAGCTCCCACGTTCCGTTATCGTAAATCTCAGGGGTGCGAATGAACAGCGGCAACAACAACAAGAACAAAATTGCCGCTTGTTCAGAAAGCGCGACGTTCAATACGCTCGCCAAGCCGGAGGGGTCCGTCGGGGACGCGACGGAGGAGGAGGAGGCGCACGCGGCAGCGGAGAGGAGGAGGTGGTGTCCCCTGCGTAGTCGGTGAGGACGAGAGAGAGGGAGAGCCGCCTGGGCTCGACCCCATAGAGGGGCTCCAGAGATGTGCACGGTGGCCTGGAGCGCCGACATGGCGCTCACTCGTGCGCGGAGGAAGTTTAACTGCGGTGGTTAGGAGATGTTAACTCCCTTGCTTGGTATGCAGGAGGTCGTGGGTTCAATCCCGGTGTTGACGATGCCTGTTGTATATTCGGTGTTTGCGTGTCTCTCTCCCCCCCGTGGTCTCGCGGATTTTTTTCCGGCTCCTCTGGTTTTTCCCTCCACATTTAGAATCAATATCATGCGTTTAGAGTATTTGGCTGCTGCTATAAATTTCCACGCGATAAGCCACTTTGTTGAGCTATCCTTCTGTGGCCAGGTCACTTCTGAAAAACAACTATTTAGCTCAGGGGGCCTTACCTGGCAAAATACTAAATCTGTTTAGTTTTTAGTTTTAACTGTTCGGCCGAAGCGGCAGTAAGTGGTGGCGCGTTCGCTGCTCGTCATTGCGGCGGTTTCATGGCTTGAATCCGGCAAGACGCCCTGTGGTGAATACTTTCTGGTGCATCAGGCACACAAACGCTGCGCGACGTCCGATTCACGGCGGTGCGCTCAAGATGCCGTGGCGTCCCTTGTGTGCGAATGCTGGCGTCGTGGTCATAATTTGCCACATTTTGAAAAATCAGATCGCAAATGACACTCAGGTAGAGCAGCAGCGACCTCAGGCACCGACTGGCTGCACAGGGACAGCTGCCGCTGGGGGTGCCTTCAAATTTGTGAGATGGCGACACCGTGCGAGATGTTTTGCCAGGTCAATTTAAAGGTCAAATAAATGCAAATATTTTTTAATGATGACGTGCAAATGAAAACTTGAGTGCGCAAATCAGCCGGGTCTTGTCACACGTTGGCGGTGCAGTCACACGGGCGTCTTCTGGGCTTTATCGCCCAGCGGGAAGCCCTCCGACTCAGCCTGCACATTACCCAGAGGCACGCGCGCACACAAAACACAAACAAGGACAAAGATCCCCGCGTAGCCTTCACAGACTGTCGGAGCAAGCACCGTGACCGAGCAGGACCCCCTCAAGCCGGCACGGCACACGGAGGTGGGCGGCCAGCGATATGCTCGGCCGCCTTTTATCTCCCCAATGCTGATGTTGACACACCGGAGCAAGTACTTACTTAAGGCCCAGTCGACCCAGGACCGGTTCGGAAACTCCTCACCAATGTTGGCTGTGAGCGGGAATCGAACCGAGGTCGGCAGGCTCGTAGTGCGGCGCGCTAACCGCTACACTACCGCTCCCCACGAGCGCCGCAGTGGCGAAACACTAACTAGCTCGCCTGGTAAGTAAGTAGGAGGTTGTGGGGTTCATCCCGACCTTCTCCCTGTGGTCACGTGGATTTGGCTGTGTTCAGAGTATTTGGCTGCTACGAATTTTCACGTGATAAGCCACTTCGTTGAGCTATCATCTGTGATAGCCAGGTTGCTTCTGAAAAAGAGCTGCATAGCTCAGTGGGCCTTACCTGGTAAAAAAAAATAGTTTCATGCACAAGCACAGACAGACAGACACACGCACACACAGAACGAATGCAAGCACCTTGAGACGCTGACCAACGGATGCAAGTCCAGCGCGCAAACCCTCCGGGTTACTCCGTGACTTCAGGACATCTGGAACGACGGTCGACAAGAGACAGAGTTTTCCACATCCGCGCGGCAGCGTCCCCGCGTCACGGCCACCGTCACGGAGCGGCGGCGCAGCGGTTAGCGCAACCGTGCCGTGAACCTGGCGAGGTGCAGCCACGGCTAACGCCGCTAGCGGACGAGATCCGAATCGGTCCTGCGGGCGCCCTTTCAACAAGTGGCGTGGAGCGCGGACAGGCAACCCCCCCTGGACTGATGAGGCGGGAGGAGGCCTTCATCCAGCAGTGGATCGACAGCTGTCA